GTGGGGAGGTAACTTTTTCAACTTTTATTAATTTCTACAAGACAGCAAGAGTGAGAGAGAATAGCTTCCATCTGCTGGTCCATTCCTCCAATGCTTGCTATAGCTGGGACTGGGTCCGACCAAAGCCAGGAACCCAGTACTCAATCCAGGTCTCAACATGGTGGCACGGGCTCAAGTAGTTGAGCCATCACCTGCTGCCTTCCAGGGTGTACATTAACAGGAAGCTGGTATAGGTAACAGAGCTGGGACTCGAACACAGGTACTCTGGTGTGGGATGCTGACATCAAATGCTGGCCCCCACGGGGAGATACCTTAGACTATCCATGTTCTGTTTCTTGTCATACTTTGCCCACTAATTACACTCATTGATTTATCCTTTTAATATCAATTGTGCTGATTTCTTGTTTACATCATACCTTCTCTTCTTCTAATTGGTGTTCTAATGTAAGAGCTGCTCCCCCATTCACTTAGTCAATCATTTTTATCAATATAAACCCATGGACATTTATTCCATTCCATAGTTTACAAGCCATTACTAGTATTAGTTGTTTAAGTTGGTGATATGAAGCAGTATGCTGGCGTGTGTATCCACTGACATGCCTTTCCTCATCCCATGAGCACTTCCTTATTTTTCCTTGGCATCAAGATTTTCTTTAAAAAAATTTTTTAAAATTTTATTGGAAAGGCAGAGTTCGAGGGAGAGACAGAAACAAAGAGATCTTCCATCTGCTGGTTTACTTTGCAAATGGCTGCAATGGTCAGAGCTGGGCCAGACTGAAGCCAGGAGTCATGAGCTTCCTCCAGGTCTCCCATGTGGGTTTAGGGGCCCAAGTTCTTAGGCCATTCTCCGCTGCTTTCCCAGGCACATCAGCAGGGAGCTGGATCAGAAGTGGAGCAGCCAAGACTCAAACTGGTGCCCATATGGGAAGCCGGCACTGCAGGTGGTGGCTTTACCCACTCTGCCACAGTCCCAGCCCATCCAAGCTCATTTTCTAATTCTGCTGCCCCAGCCTAGGAATCACCCATTTCTTCAAAAGGCTCAATATCCACTGAGAATGACATTTAGAAACCAACTAGATGGCAATAACAGCAATAGGTGTGCTCGCTGCTACTGCAGCCTTTACTTCTGGGTCCTGTCTATGGACAAAGCTGGGAAATGAATGTATGTATATTCATAGACTCAGCTGTATTTCTAAAGCTGTGCATTTCTACAGAAAATAAAATCAACGAGTCCAGATCTGCAACACCACTTCAAGACTTTGTTATTTGCAACTCCTTTCTCAATGAGAACCTTTGGTCAGCCACAACACATTTTCTTATTTGCTGTCTTAAGTTTATGCAAAAGGCAGTTTTACAATGCTAACCCAAATCCTTTAATTATGAAGATACTTGTGCATAGTTCATTTTGTCTTTGGCCTTACAGTATAGAAATGCTATTATCATCCATGCAGGTTTCTTTCTTCTCACATCAGTATGGCAGTTACTCATTTGTAGTAATTAACTTCCTTCACTAGTTTGTACATCAAGTTCCTGCACATCACAGTTGATTTTAACTGTATCTGGGGTATGGGAAACATTACCATAGTTCTGAATCAGTTATACAAAAATGAATACTGAGAGAGAAATGTCACCTCTCCTCATCCCGACTACCCTTTTCTTAATCTTCTTAGTTTTCGGTTTACTCTTCTTGAGTTTCCTCGGCACAAATGAGCAGATGCACATATATTTTCTTATACTGTGTTCTTTGTATACAAAGGATGGTAAATCGCAGGTACTCTTGTGCTTTGCATTTCTCATTTACTGTATCTGGGAAATCAGAGTTCTTAGAGAACTTATATTTAAAAAAAGCTTTTTAAAAACTGCAAAGGACTCCACTGTGTGGCTGTACATTGCTTACTGGATCACTCTTCTATATATATATATATTTAGGTAACTTACATTCCTTTGCAACTACAACCAATGCTGCAGAGTAACCATGTGAATGTGAACTTTTGCATTGTTGGAGAGTATTACCAGGGAAGATTCCTAAGTGGGATTGTTGGGACAACACTAAATTTACTTGGAGTTTTATTGGATATTGCCAAATCCCAACCCCAAGAAAGGTAGCTGCAGTACGCAGTTCAACCAACTCAGAGGAATGTTTCACCAACAGAATGTGGTATCATCCTGCTCTTAAATTTTTCCATCTCATGGGAGAGAAATGGTATCTTGGCTTTAACTTGTTTGGATTTTTAAAAACAACTGCTTCTTAAAATGTACTTATTCTCATTTTTGAGAGAGCAAGGGGGAAATTTTTCCATTCACTGTTCACTCCCCAAATGCCCACAAAAGCCAGAACTGGGGCGTGTAGAAGTGTGTAAATCAATCCAGGCCTCCCAAATGGGTGGCAGAGGCCTAAGTACTTCAGTCATTATCTGCTGCCTCCCAGGGGTGTGCATTAGCAGGAAGCTGAAATTGGAAGTGGAGCCAGGAAAGTAACGCAGGCACTCTAATATGGAATGTGGGTGTCCCAACTGGCGTTTTCACTTCTGCACCAAATGCCTGCCCCACATTTGAACTTTTTCAAAAGTAAATTTTATTATGTATATTAAGGTATACAGTATATTATGAAATACATAGACAATAAAAAGGGTTACCACAGTGAAGCAAACTAACATCCATCATTTCATGTTTAAAGATTATTTATTTGAAAGGCAGTGTTACAGAGAGGGACATTTATAGAAAGAGATCTTCCATTCACTGGTTTACTCCCCAAATGGCTGCAACAGCAAGGGTTGGGCCAGGCCAAAGTCAAGAGCTCCATGGGGGTCTCCCACATGAGTGCAGGGGCCCAAGGACTTGGACCATCTTCCGCTGCTTTCCCAGGTGTATTAGCAGAGGGAGGGATCAGAAGTGGAGCAACCAGGACTTGAGCCAGTGCCCAATGGCTTGCCAGAGTTGTAGATGGCGGCTTATCCCACTGTGCAATGCCAGCCCCATCATGTATGAATTTTTAAAATATATTTTTGGGCTATATGAAAGTCTTCTTTAGTGAATTATCTGCTCATTTTTTCCATTATGGTTTTTCATCCTTTGTACTTCAATTTTCAAGAGTTGGCCTCATGATTTTGCAAAACTAATGAACACTAATACATACATGGGCAGTTTAAAAATAAAGTTCCCTATTATGACTTCAAGTAATACTGTAGTACACTGAAGATAGGGCTTTATTTTAATGTGAACACCAAAGTAATCTAAACTCTTTAAAACACAGGTAGATATACTGATCTAATTGTGTAGCAAATTCTTACTATGAAACAGTTTTTTTTTGGGGGGGGGCATTATTTTTAGCTCATACAGTTTAGCCCCACATTGCCAACCTTATGCAACTGAGATGGGGCTTCTTTACCTATGAAAAAATACTTAGTGTGTTCAAAAGATATAATTTTTTTATTACAAATATTTTGATACCATTTGCTTACTTATTACCCTTTTAATCATTAGCAGATAAATCAGAACTATTTTTCTGTTAATGGGTTATTTTAAAATATCCTTCAAAACAACTGTGAAGATCCAGTTCGGCTCCCTTAGATAGTTTGAACTAATGGTTTCATCTAATTATATGCAAGGACAAAATGGTAACAAAGTCTTTATGAAGATTACAATTTTGGAATATGTTGAAACATTAAATTTTTTTTTTTCAGTGCCTGATTTTCTGGCTATTAAAACATACTCACAGATGCCATAAAAACTCATCAAATATCAATTAAAAATGTAAATTTTAGGGGGCCAGCATTGTGGCATAGCAGGTTAAGCCACCACCTTCAACGCTGGCATCTCATATGGGCACCTGTTTGAGTCCTGACTGCCCCACTTCTGATCCAGCCCCCTGCTACTGTACCTGGGAAGGCAATGGAAAATGGCCCAACTGCTTGGACCCCTGCCACCCACATGGGACACCCAGAAGAAACCCGTGGCTCCTGGCTTTAGCTTGGCCCAGCCCTGGCTGTTGCGGCAATTTGGAGAGTGAACCACCAGAAGGAAAATTTCTCTAACTCTGCCTTTCAAATAAATAAATAAATCTTTTTTTTTTTTTAATTTAAATTCTAGTATTAAAGATTCAATTGTAGAGATCTATTTCACATTATCTGTTCCAGGGATAGAGTGGAAATCACAGCGACACTGCTTTGGTCTGCAACATACATTTCTTGGTGGTAGATTAGATTTATAGAGAGCAGTTATGAGCTGCAGAGAAGTCTACCACCTGCTCTTGTCGCTCCAGACTGAGGCACCTTAAGGCTGCTGAAGTTGAGGGTTCCATCTTTTCTTACAGATTAAAAATACATGTGTTCATTTGTTGCTGTTTATTTACCATTAGCTTCTCTTTTTATACTCAATTTATAAAATGATTAGGAAAGGCAGTATGGAAAAGAAACAGATTAAGCTTCTGGAAAAGTTAACAATAGTTTAAAAATAATTCCCAAAGAATTGTTTCCTTCTTGATATAGAGTAGAATGTGCCATAGTTGTCTTAGCCTTTTCTTTTCATCAGTAAACAGAGTGATAAATAAGATCAGTCAATTCAGAAGGGGAAAAAAGTTAATAATAAAAATACTCTTAAAACTAGATTTCCTCTCACCTTTCCCTGTGCCCTCCAGGGGCCGGTTAAAACTATGATAGCATGTGGTGATTTCCCAGAAGAGTAATGTCAAAGACTTGACAGAGTACTATGGACTCTTCAGGAAAGACTCACAGACAGTTGAAGTCATTGAGTAAGTGGAAAGTAGTTAGTTTTGTACTTTTATGAAACTTCTGATAGGCATAAATGTTCTTTTGTGCTGAGGACAAAATACTTGCTTACAACATCAACATGAATAATTTCAATATAGTGAGATTTTAGCAAAATTTTTAAAATGGGCAAGTGTTAAACATTCTGATCTTTAAAAAATACTTAAATACATGTAAAAGTTTTAAATGGACTAAAAATACATTTAAAAATGTGGTATAATAAATAAAAGAACACTTTTATACATAGGATTTTATTTTGCACTGCTGTAACAATTTCATTATAGACCAAGGGGAAAAAAGGAAAAAAAGATAAAACCACCACACTGAGTAAATTACTAAACCTTTTCTACTTTTTAACAGGATTTTCCATCGGGTAGATTTATTGTCATATCCCTTTCAAAACAGACAAGATGCTTACCATATTTTAAAGATTATAGGTTGCCACTGAAAGAAAAATTTTACACAGTCACTGTACATCAAGGTTGAAAAACTGTCCTGCATGAAAAATATACTTGGAAATCATGTGAATAAAAGAAAAAGAAAACATTATTGTGTTAAGGAAAGATTAAAGTTCTCATAATGTGCCATCTAAATGTGGATACTCATTCTTCTTAAGAGTTGCGCATAGGTAGGGATTTCTTGCTTCTGCCCTTTTCACTCATTATACTGTGTTTTAACCCAACAGTACTCATTAAGGCAAACAAATCCTTTTCTGAAGAGGTCTTAAGGAAACTGTGGACAAATAGCAAACTTTTGGCATTAAAACAGGTTAACACGTACACAGCCTTTAGTAATATACATTAAGCATATTTTCCTTGGACTAGTGACAAGAAAAGATGAACATGCTTGTTAACAATGTCAAAAAGTTTAAAATTCAGTGTCCAAGCAATTCCTAACAATGCTTCTGTAGCTTTAAGCTCTAAACAGTATAGAATTTATGCAAATGCATTAAAGAATTCAAGCTTGGCAAATTACACCCAAGCAAGTTATTAAACTATATATACACAGAAAGTAAATGATAAATACAGAATTAAAAGAGTTCTGTTTTTCCTTACAGCCTTGAAAATTGACAAACTTTCTGAGGACAGTTCTATAATATTAAACATTAGGTAACCACAGGTATTGGGAAACCTAACTACATAAACCGATTTAAAATACTCAAGATGACTTTGTAGTGTTTAATACAATTCAGTTCGTAGTTAAGGGCACAAGACAACATTTAACAAAAATAATCACATCAATTGACCTAGAAATCAAATGCAAATAGATATGAATACAATCTCCAAAATCTGTCTTTTTAAGTGAACATGAACCATTTATTCAAAGTTATACAAGAATTTGAAGGATTAAAGTCTTCTGTGACATAAAGCCATTTCAAATAGTTTCATGTCTCAGCTGAGCAGGAGGAGAGGGTGAAAGAATAAGTGAGCGGGCCCCAGTGGGCAGCGAGACAGTAAAAACAGACTCAACAGCAGCCGCCCCCGGCCTGCTGTCCTCCCTGATTGCCGGCATGTGTTGCATTAGTAGCAGCATGCTGAGGGCCAATTTTAATGCCATTTGCCTGAAATCAAAGAGAACAGAATCATAAATACAACCAGACCCAACCAGCCTGTATAATTTAGTGGGTTTGTTTTTTAATATTCTAGCTAATTCCTAATGACACAATTTTACCAATTTAGAAAGACATATTAACTATCTTTTAGCAAGGAATAAAACAATAACTCTCAGGGAATGCTTCTTCTTTCTAAAACAACAAATGTTTCTGAAATCATTCTTTATCATACTAGATACAAGGTAAACAGAAACTGAAATGCTTGTTTCTCAGGGAATTCTCATAATGGAGAAACCATCTAAAACAATTGCTGAAAGCAATATTTAAATGATAAAATTATCCAAAGCCTGTGCCGTCTACCACAACATAAAATCTTTTCTCTGCACAGCATTTCTGTTCCATGTTGAATCAGCTGTACAGGCTAAGGGCACATGAGGGTTCTGTGTCATCAATAATTTCTATGATCCCCAAAGACATGGCAGCTTGCCAAGAACCCACACACAGAATAGTTCTTTCATTCATCAAACTCACACTTATGTCTTAACCCTCACTCCCTCAAGTGGATTTTACCTAAAAATACAACACATTGAGAAAAGTAATACAGTAGCTTCAGAAATTAAGCTCTTAAGGAAACTTTACGTCACAGTAAATCTCAGATTTATAGTGCTTGGCAGTTGTTCTGCAACAGTAGTAGCCTTGGGGTTTCTGGCACTAGCTCAGTATTGACAGCAGCTGATGTGGTTTCTTTTCGCTCTTTTGACTCCTCTTTAATAAAAAGCATGCCCTATGGCTCATTGGTTTTGCCCCCTCTGGGCTGGTAGCAACTTCTTGAGGAAGCAAGGAGTCAGACTTGGCATTAGGCCAAATAAATAGCACGGCCTGTTGGCTCCTGACAGCACATTACAATCAAAGCTGTATAAGGCACAGTAAAGCAGTCAGCTACTATATGAAACCAGACAGAAACAATGAACATGCCCTTTTAAACAGAGGCCCAATTACTGTTCAATTTATTTGGCATTAGTCTCTGAATGCTGTCACCTTTAAATTAACTGAAGAAGTACTGCTGTAAGTCTAGAAGAGGATTTAGAGCCTATACGAGTATTATTCCATGTTAAGGGTGAGGAAATTAAGTACTTTTTGGAAACCTTAGGTAAGCTGCTGTTTGTTTTAGCCAAGACCACTGAGGCACTAATAGGAGTCTCAGATCTGCAGTGGCTTCCCAACGTAATGCTTTTCTAAGTGCAACTGGGCAGGGACCAGGGATTTTCTCTCAGATGCCAGAAGTCTTACTATCAAACAGCAAAAATATTTATGTAAAAGTAAATAACATGCTATACCCACAATAAGTGTTTTGAAGTAAATATAGATAAATAAAGAGTGGGGATTTAGGTCAAAATGATGGCCTTCAGTGAACACTGAATTATATGCTTCAAAGCTTCACATTTTATCCTAGTTATGTCAACCAACCAGACTCAAAATAACTTTACAAAAAGCTAAGTGCCAACTGCCAATTCTGTACATTAATTTAGTCTTCTGAAACCATGCTATGCTATATTGGGAATATGCTCCAGATTGGGTATTTCCCTCTTTCATATGAGAAAACAGAGAGCATCTTGCATTAGTGACACAGTACATGCATTTACACACTAGAACATTATTCCCCAAAGCAGATGACACCATATGGACTTAGATGAAAGTGGATTTTCTTTGCTTTTGGGGGATTTATATTATTTTCCATTGCTTTTAAGAAATTGGTAGGGCCACTTACTTTAATTCATTTTCACAGATGAAGTTACATCTTATTAGCACATACACATTTAATTATTAAACTATGCATAGATTTCAGTTAGATGATCATAAGCCAATATGTTAAGTGATAATCATGGATGCATTTCAGCACTTAAAAATATCAAATCATGAATCTAAATATAGAGGGAAATTCTATATTAATATCAGCCAGTAATATTTTTATGTATATACCTCATTATTAATGTCAAAGACTCCTTCTTGGATTTTTTCATAAATCTCTTTTGCTGTATTAATAAATGCCTGAAATATAAGAGATTGGTTCATATTATTTAAAACCACAACAATAAAAGAGCATCATATGAAATCTCTGCAGAATATCCTAATGTTTAACATAGGAATATCAACTGATATAATGCATCAAATAAACAAATCATCTCAATAGACATAGAAAAAGCATATGGCAAAATTCAATACCCTCTCATGATAAAAACATTCAACAAGTCTGAAATAGAAACTTCTTCAATCCGATGAACATCATCTAAAAAAACCATACTTAATGGGGCTGGCGCTGTGGCATAGCTAGTAAAGCCACAGCCTGCAGTGCCAGCATCCCATATAGGTTCTGGTTCAACAGCCAGCTGTTCCTCTTCCAATCTAGCTCTTTGCTATGGCCTGGGAAAGCAGTAGAAGATGACCCACGTCCTTGGGCCTCTATACCCGCAGGGAGACATGGAAGAAGCTACTGGGTCCTGGCTTTGGATTAGTGCAGCTCCAGCCATTGCAGCCCTCTGGGGAGTGAACCAGCAGATGCAAGACCTCTCTCGCTGCTCTCTGTAACTCTGCCTTTCAAATAAATAAATAACCTTAAAAAACAAAAGCAAAAAATAACTACACTTAACATCATACTCAATGTTCACCTAAAGGCTGAAAGATTTCCTCCTAAGATCCAGAATAAAGCAAGGATGCATTAGCATTATTCAAAACAACCAAAAAGTGGAAACAATACAAATATTCATAAACTGACGAATACAACCCAAAATGTGGAATTATCAATATAATAGAATATTATTCAGTCACAAAAAGGAATGAAGTACTGATTCATGCAGCAAAGTGGATGATACTGAAAGTATCACACTAAATGAAGGAAGGCAGATACAAAAGGCCCCATATAGTACAACTCCATTTATACGAAATGTTCAGAATAGGCAAATCCATAGAGACAGAAAGCATATTATTTGTTGCCAAGGGCTGGGGGTAGGTGGAAATGCAGAGTGACTGCTAATGAGTAGGGGGTTTGTTTTTGGGGTGATGAAAATGTTCTGGAATTAGTGGTGATGGTTGCAAAATTTTGTGATTATACTAAAAACCATACATTAAAAGGGCAAATTTTATGGTATGTGTACTGTATCTTAAAAGAGAAAACTATAACCATAGGGAGAAAAGAGAATATCACAATGTGAGAACACCACACCTGAGAAAAACAGATGTGGACTACACAAATTACATGATCGCTACATTACAAGCTTACTTTTGGAGGACAGTTCTACATAGGGCCGCTTTTGCCATAATAATGTATGACAATATATGGTTAAAAAGAGAAAGAATCAAAGGATGTTTTTGACAAACGGCAGCTCAACTTCTACCTATACAATTTTTATCTCAACTTTTATCTATAAAATTTCACTCTAATACTACTAAGTTGACAAAAAAAGTGTTAGAATATTGCAGAGCAACTTAGTTCTATAAACACCATAATTTATCCACATCCTGTACTGGATGTATGATATGAAGTTAGTTTATAGAAATATTACCAATGCTTCAGAGATATACAAATTCTTATAGATCCTAAACTAAAGGTTTAGGAGATCATAAATAACTGTACTAACCAATATTATAAATAAAGTCATTTTCAATTAGTTTTCTATGAAAATTCATAAAAGAGAGCTATCTCCACTACCACTAATATACATCTAATTCAAATTTTAGAAAGTAAACAGGGTTCACGGAAGGAACAAATCATACCTTTTGTCTTTTCTACACTGGAAATATCTGACTGCTGAACTTGCCATCAGAGCTTTTGTTTCCTAATTAACAGGACTGATATGTTTTCACCTTTAAAGGCCTTACAGCTCCCCAGAGTAATCAATCTACTGCAGCTCAATTACTGCACCAAGCACACCCCAGTCAGTGAAGGAGACTTGAGCGACTGTGGCAGGAGCACAGAGATATGAATATGCATAAACTCTAAGTGGCTGATCGAATCATCACGGAGGGTCATGAGAATTTGCAGCAAAATAATGAGAAGAATTAATCACTGCAGAATCACAAGGCACTTAGGACGCGAGTGCGCTTTTCCTGTGTGTGCTACAGTGAAGTGAAGGAGAAACTGGCTTTCAGCCAAGTATGAATTGATTCATATTCTTCAAAATTAAAGTTATCCCCATAAATAAGGAAAAACTTAACTTTATTTCCAATAACATGTCAATTACTGTGATGGTATTTAGAATCCAGGCTAACTAAATATTGAAGTCAAGGATACATAAATTCACAGTGCTGGAATTCCTTCTAGGGACATCCAGATGTGCACACTTTACTAGAATGTTAGAACTTCAAGGCTCTATAAATTGAGTTATAAATTCATATAAACAAGCACTTCTACAATACAAAAGTCATTATTAAATGTGTTAATTTATGGAAATAAACTTTCCTTTTGCAATCTGTTGACAAATTACTTTAAAAACTGGCTAGAGAACTGTGCTATATAAAATTTCACAAATCACTGCTAAGTTTATTACCTAAATAATACCTAATAATTAAGCCCATTTACGCATAGCTGCATCAGATGGACTTAAGATGTCTTGTACATCTGAAAGACGTGATCAATTTCATTACAACTAAAATACAACAAATGATTATTCCTTTCATTATAATTTCCATCATCTCAATGACGTAGTCATTGCACAAAATGTTTACTGCCATTTCACTCTGAATATACATTACAGATACTAAAATATTTTCCATTCCCTGAGCGTATTACTGAGGATACAAGTCAATTATTTTTATATATCTCATGATAAAAATTAATACTTTATATGTATCACTAAGTGATTAATGAATAATTTTAAAGAGTTCTTGGAGTCTGAAACCCAATGTGAGTAATGCAGGCAACAGTATATCTTTTTATAAGTATGTGAATGGGGCCAGTGCTGTGACAATAGTGGGTATAGCTGCTGTCTGTGATGCTGATATCCCATATGGTGCCAGTTTGAATCCTGGCTGCTCCACTTCCGATCCAGCATCCCTGCTGATGTGCCTAGGAAAACTGTAGAGGACAGCCCAAGTGCTTGATGCCCTGTACCCATGCTGGAGACCCGGAGGAAGCTCCTGGCTCCAGAATGGCCCAGCTCTGGCCTTTGTAACCATTTGGGGAATGAATCAGCAGATGGAAGATCTCTCTCTCTCTCTCTCTCTGTGTCTTTTCTCTTTCTCTGTAACTCTGCCTTTCAAAAAATTAATTAATTAATATTTGAACAACAAAAAAAAAAGTATGTGACCATGGACTGAAATTATGGAGTTCCCGAATAGAATGAACACTGACCATGTTAGTAAGGCTGTTAAGAAATCTTCTAAAACAACAACCTAAATAAATCTTCTAAGGTAACAGCCTTTGGAGTGTCACAGATAAAATCTTCCCACTTAAGTTGCAAAATATTTAAACATAAGCTTATAATACATAATATGTAAAAGTTATTACATACACATACACACATATATAAAATGGTTGACTTAAAAAATTGATTATTTCATTCATTAAATATCAGTCTCTACATTCTTAAGGTACACGTTTCTAATCCATCTTTTAGAATTCTTTATGAACATATATCATATACAAAATACATTTTGAGTATTTCTTGGTACATATCTCAAGACAGGACTAATGTTCTTCACAGAATTAGTTTTCTTAAAAAAAGATGGGATGCTGGCATTGCAGGCAGTGGCTTAGCCTGCTACGTCAAATGCTGGCCTCATAGAATTATTTTAATTTAGGGCTGGTGCTGTGGTGTAGTGGGTAAAGCCACCACCTACAGTGCCAGCATCCCATATGGACGCCAGTTCAAGTCCTGGCTGCTCCATTTCTGATCCAGCTCTCTGCTACGGCCTGGGAAAGCAGTAGTAGATGGTCTAAGTCCTTGGGCCCCTGCACCCATGCGGGAGACCTGGAAGAAGCTCCTGGCTTCTGGCTTCGGATTGGCACAGCTCAGGTCACTGCAGCCAAATGGGCAGTGAACCAGCAGATGGAAGACCTCTCTCTCTCTCTCTGCCTCTCTTTCTCTCTGTAATTCTGACTTTCAAATAAATAAATAAATCTTTCAAAAAAAAAAAAAAGAATTAGTTTAATTTGAACAGCTGGCGGAGTTGTTCTCTAAAAACACTATCTGTGGATATTACTTCCATTATATTTTTGAATCTCCAGCACAATACCTAAAATAAAGCAGGTACTTAAAACTCTTTTATTAAACTCAAGTATCCATAGCAGGGAATACTGGGAGGGTACACAGGGCTTCCCTGAAACACTGGGTGTTTTCACTTCTGTGTACCATTTCTTAGTGGGCAAGTTCATTTACTGAAGACTTCACTGAGGGCCAATAGTGGGCAAACCAATTTAGAACTTGGAAAAATTTCTGCTAAGAAACTGATGTCAAATGACTTTATTATTAACACAATGAAGCAAACAATGTCTAGGCAGATTCACGATTAGGAAGTGAAAACAGCTCTTCCTGCAGCCAGTGGCACCTGGTGGTCCCCTTGCTTTCCCAGGTAGTGAGTGTTCCAATTCAGTATCAGAAGCTGAACTCCATTTTACTACTAGCCCTCCCCCTTAACCACACTTTGATAAACTGCCATGTTCAGGCCTTTACCTTCTTTTTCATCATTAGTCATTAATTATAATGCCTTCTACCCTAGGCACTAATCTTTCAACCCCTGGCAGCAGTGATCTGGTACTGATAGTAACTAAACTCTGGGCAAATTTTCAGGGATCTCTATAGTACAAATTGAAACAAACATACCCCACTCCCACCCTCATCCCCCACAACTATACATACGTTGTAATTCATATGACCATTCAACAAATGGACATGCTGATGGGTTTATTACATATCACTGACATCTGCCCAAGGGCACCTATTAATTGTGACCACATATTCAGAACTTAGAAGGAAATAGCTCCTATTACTGGTGAAGTGAAACCCGTTAGTTGGAGAATCTAATTACAAGGGCCAAAATCTCAGTTAAAGTTG